GAGGCCCCTGTACACTCAGGGTGTACAAACACTACAGCATTTTCCTGGGACAAGCAGCACACTGTTTAGTTGTGCTAATTGCTAGTCACTAATTGATAGCCCAAGCCTATAACAAACACGGCATTACATGTCCTCTCCCAGGGAGCTGAATCCCAGCTGCAACCCAAAATCTTCTGTCACTTGTTTTACCAACACACATGCTAAGAAATTCTCTATTTTACACACTTAAAAATAATTTTTTTGGACAGGATAGAAGAGCAAACAGAAGTAGGAAGAAATTAAATTTCTTCAAGATCATGCAGCATGTGGACAGCAGAGTTGGGACTGGAACCCTGGTCTCCTTGACACTTGCTTCCCCAACCACTTCTTCCAAGTCCCCCGAATACCTTGGGTGCATCGTTTCACCACGCACAAGAATAAAGCCAGATACAGAGTGGGGCTTTCTTCTCCAGTTAAGCTGTCAGAATTTTAATACTTCCAAATTAAAGTACTAATTGCTTCAAAATATAAATAACAACATATGTCAAAGCTAAGGAGGATGAGAAAAGATAGGTGCTTTCAACTTTCATGAACATGAGACACTGAAATTTTACTACTGTATCTCATGGATTGTTCTAATTTTTAAACAAACTTTCTTCCCCTCTCAGTGCAGCTATCCATACACTTCTCATATAAAGACCAAAGGAAAAATTGTGAATACCGTGTTTTAAACATCTGGCCTCCATATCAAATTTTTCTGAATCACACCATCAACAAGATCACCTCAAATTGAACTTATTTTTTCCCCGTGTCAATGTAGATGATTTAGTGGCTCAAATTGCTTTGTCAAATATGCCTAGACACCTCAGTGATATTGCTCACTAAATTGATTTAGGCATAGCAGCCCAAACAGGAAATGTATATTATAGTTTTGCATTGTTATGGAAAAAAATATCTACCATAAGAACCCAATGGCTTGTTGGATAGTACATTTTAAAAATGTGCATTTTAGTTAGAAATCTGGCCTTTTTTTCCCCTGAGATTTTATCACCACACTGAATTCTGAGAAGCTTAAAGACTCCAAAGACTGGAGAAAGGGAAGTAAGAGTGGAAAGGCAAGTAAGAAAATCTCTATTCATCAAGTTCTTGAAATGTGTGTAAATGAACTTGGTATTCAGTTTACTTGGCAAAATATGAGAGCACATTAAAAGCGTTCTTGGGTAATAAAAGAACAGATTAAAAAAAGAGCAAACATACGTATTTCTTCAGTTACCCACAGCTCAGTTCCATGCAACTCTGTACTCCTCGTTCCCACACACCACAGACCTGGCGGCAGCCA